GACTCTATCAGATATTTTTACACCCATGTTCATAGCATTATAAGTCACAATAGCCAAAAAGTGGAAGAAACCAAAATGTCTCTTTGACAGATAAATGGATAAACAAAATGTGGTATATACATTCAATGGGATATCATTCATCCTTAAAATGGGAGGATATTGTGAGACATGCTATAACATGCATGAACCTCAAAGACATCATTCTGAGTGAAATAAGCCTGTCACAAAAAGACAAATATTGTATGATTCAAGTTATGAGATCTCTAGAGTGGTCGGATCCATAGAGACAGAAATCAGAATGGTGATTGCCAGGGTATGAGGGGAGAGGAGAATGGAGAGTTATTATTTAATGTGTAAGGAGTTTCAGTTTGGATAGATGAAAAAGTTTTGGGACTGGAAGACAGTGATGGTTGCACAACGTGAATGTCCTTAATGCCACTGAACTGTACACTTAAAAATGGTTAAAATGGTGCCAGCCCCATGGCATAGTGGTTAAGTTCAGTGTGCTCTGCTTTGGCAGCCCAGGGTTCCTGAGTTCAGATCCAGGGCACTGACCTATACACTGCTCATCAAGCCACGCTGTGGCAGCATCCAACATACAAAATAGAGGAAGACTGGCACAGATGTTAGCTCAGGGACAATCTTCCTCACCAGAAAAAAACAATCATTAAAATGATAAATTTTTATGTCATATAAATTTTACCACAATTTTTAAAAACTGAAATACTTAGGCGTAAATTTAACAAAACATGTGCGGGGTTTGTATGCTGAAAATTACGAAATACTCATAAAAGAAATCAGAATGATCTAAATAAATGGGGAGACATACTGTGCTCATTAATCAGAAGACTCAACATAGTAAAGATACCAAATGATGGAAAGAAAATTATCTGAATAGGACAGAAACTTTTAACACCATATTTGGGTGGGTGTTGGTCCTAACACGTGCTGTGAATTGAGTTTGCTGGCAGATATTTGAAGTCTGTGGGTATTTGCTTACTGTGTATTCTTACACGGCTTAATTTATTTGAGTATAGTTTCTTTCACCTGGTGTTCCTCACTTTGCATTTTCAAAACAAACTTGTGCTTAAAACACGTTGAGAATAACACCCTCATTGATAGAATTAGTAAATCAATTTCTATCCTAGAAATTTCAGTTTCTATCCTGGAGGATAATATTGGCCAAGAGAACACCCCAAAGATGATCTAGGAGGGCAGTTGGTATCTCTTAAAGCAAGATACCTTTGCTGGTATAAAAGGAATGGATAGCATAAAAGATAAAAACTGTGGTAACAAAAGAAGAAGATATGGGGTTGTGATTTTAATCCTCAATCTAAAGCCCCAGTGGGTGACTAGAATATAAACATCTGATCACGTTCTTACTAACACAAAAACCATCAGAGCTGCCAATGGCAGACACCAGGCCGGGCACCAAGGGGTGCCTTTGCCTGTTCTACCCTGATTCATTTCTTGTGACCTAAAACCTGCCCAATTTTGATTGAGTGGGTGTGTACTTTTGGGAACAGGATGGAGTGGCAGGGATTACAAATGGAGGTGTGAGACATTACGGGAGCCTGGCATGATTAATATGGGGCAAATATGGCTCTAAATAACTGGCATCTAAAGTTCTTTTACCAAGATCTCAGCACTCACATGCTCGTGTCTGACAGTCTGTGTCTTGGAGTGTCTCTCTGGGTATAAAGACAGTAAATACTACTCAGAAAGTGACAGGTGCTTTCATTTCAGCTGGTGCAAAGAACAGAGTTACCTTGCACAAAGGACAACAGGATGAAAACTCCTGTTGACTGCCTGTAGGTAGTGAGCCCAACTGATAGTGATGAAGACGTATAATAGGCATGAAGTAGGCAGAGAAATATTGCATTTGGGCCTTCTATGGGTTTCAGGCCCAGTACCAAGCTCCTCGTGACCTCTGGAATGTTCTTACCCAAGAAAATTCCTGGTTCTTAGCTGCTAATATCAGCAACATAGATGCTGCCCAAGAGGTACTGATCTGAAGGGTCTTTGTGGATGTAATTAAGATAGATTATATCAACCTGGATTAAGGTGGACCCTAAGTCTAATAATGAGTTTCCTTATAAGAAACAGAAGAGAAGACAGAGGGAGGAAAACCAGGTGAAAATGGAGGCAGATATTTGAGTTATGCTGCCACAAGTCAAGGAAGCCTCAGAGCCACCAGAAGCTGGAAGGGGCAGGAGGGGCTCTCCTCTAGAACCTTTAGAGGGAGCATGGCCCTTCTGGTACCTTGATTTTTATTCTTGGCCTCCAGAACTGTGAGAGAGTTAATTTCTATTCTTTTAAGATATCAAGTTTGTGGCACTTTGTTATGGCAGCCTAGAAAACTAACATAGATTTTGGTATCCAGAATGGGGTGCTGCAGTAACAAATACCTAAGAATGTGGAAATAGCTTTGGAATTGGACAATGGGTAGAGAATGGAAGAATTCTGAGGCACGTGACAGAAAAATCCTGGATAATCTTGAAGACATTGTTGGTGGAAATATGGAGATTAAAGGTGCTTCCGGTGAGATTTCAGAAATGAGGAACATATTATTGGAAAATATAGGACAGGCGATCCTTATTATAAGATGGGGGAAAAATGGGCTGAATTATTTTGTTGGGTGGAAAGTGGAACTTATAAGCAATGAACTTGCATATTTAGCTGAGCAGCTTTCCAAGCCAAGTGTTTCTCCTTGCTGTTTATAGTAAAAGATGAGAGGAAGAGTTACATTGAGGAAGGAATTGTTAAATAAAAAGGAACTGGCACTTGATGATTTGGAAAATTCTCAGCCTATTTAGCTTGCAAAAGATTTTAAGCGTGTTCTGGGAAAAGAGCCAAGAGTATAGCTGGACACCTTTTGCGGAAGACTTTATATGTATAAGTAATGGATCCAATCAACACTCTCAGCAGAATCCAGGAATATAGATGATGTGATCCAATAAATATATGCGGAGAACCCTCTTGTCTGACGGCAGGGATCCCCTAGACATACATGTGAGACCCAAAAGTTTTTTGAGAAGAATGTTATACTACCAAAAACACTGCCAACTTGCCTTCAAGGCAACAAAAGAGGGACAAAATGAAGGAAAACTGTTAGACTTCTGGGATTCCAAAGGTGGGAAACAGGATGATAGAGCTTCTTGGCTGCTAACATGTGTTATCCATCAAGAAAAAGGAAAAATGACTCAGAGGGCAAAGACATGAATACAGAGGCAGAGTCCAGAGAGGGGAGGGCTACCACCATGGGCTCAGAGAACAGAGCATCAAGCAACAGAGATTATACTTGGGTATTGAAACCTAACATAGTTTACCCTACTGAGTTTCAAACTTGCTTTGGACCAGTGACTCTTTTAATCTTTTCATGTTCTTCCTCTCAGAATGAGTATTATATGCCTGTCCCACCATAGTATTTTTGAAGCAGATAACCTGTTTTCTGGTATTGCAAGTCCACAGATGGAGAGAAATTTTACCTGCACGTGGATCATAGCCAGAGTATCACGCATACCTGATTTAGATGATGAGATGTGGGACTTTTTGAGTTGATATTTAGATGAGATATTTGACTTAGAGTTGATGCTGGAATTCATTAAGACTTTTGGGGATGGTGGGATGAGGTGAATGTATTTTTCACATGGGATGAATGTGAATTTGGGGGCACAGAGGGAAGTAAGTAGGGAGTAGAATAGTGACCTTCAAAAGATACAAGTAGCCAGAACCTCAGAATGTGCACTTATTTGGAATAAAGATCTTTGCAGAAAAAATTAAGGTAGGAATCTCAAGATGAAATCAACCTGGATTAGAGTGGACCCTAAGTCCAATGACGAGTGACCCTATAAGGGACAGACAGGAGAAGACACAGAGACACAAGGGAAAAGGCCATGTGAATGGAGCCAGAGATATGAGTTTATGTTGCCACAAGCCAAAAAAAAAAAAAAAAACCCAAAACCACCAGGAGCAAGCAGAAGCTGAAAGAGGCAAGAAAAAATTCTCCCCTAGAGCCTTTGAAAGAAACATGGCCCAGCTGGCACCTTGAGTTTTGATTTCTGGCCTGCAGAACTGTGATAGAATAAATTTCTGTTATTTTAAGCTATCTGCTTTGTGGTACTGTCATGGCAGCCCTAGGAAACTAATACAACAATATAGACACACACACACGCATGCATGAGTGCACGCACACACACTCACACACGTGATTTTCTGAACAATAGTTAGCTTTCTTTTCTCATTTAGTACCTTATCTCAATGTTTGCAGTTGTGGTTTTATAGGTTATTATGGTTGAACAGCTTTTCACAGATTTCTTGGGCATTCCTATTGCTTTTTTTTTTTGTGAGGAGGATTGGCCCTGAGCTAACAACTGTATCAATCTTCCTCTATTTTGTATGTGGAATGCCACCACAGCATGGCTTGATGAGCAGTGTGTAGGTCCACACCTGGGATCCAAACCTGCGAACCTGGGGCCACCAAAGAGAAGCACGTGAACTTAATCACTAAGCCACTGGGCTGGCTCCCATTCCTATTGCTTTTAATAACAAGTTTAGGTTAATATTAGTTTCCCTTCTCTCTACTGATTTCTTTATATGTCAAGGATATCAAAGCAATGTGAGTCAGATATGGGGACAATTTTTTTCTCCTCAGATTTTCATGTGCACTTTAATGCTGTTTTTCCCAAAATGGATTGTTTTCAAATTTAAATAAATTTGTATGGCTAAGAAAATAATACTTTTCTCCACCTAAAAATATGTGACTAGTACACTAGGGACACAGAACGACACCCCCAGGTTTATCAGGGTTACAAAGCATCCCCCACCTCAGCAGCCACACAGCCCTGGGGAGCACACACAGCCCTGGCTCTGGAGGGGGGGGTCCAGGAATTGCGTCTCTACCCCACTGTTCCCCAAGATTGCTGACCCTCTCTGAATTTCCTTTCCTTCTCTGTAGACCAGTGCTAATAATACTTGCCTGAAATGGATTTACCAGGGAATTTACACAACATGCAACTTTATTCTTTATGATCAGAGGAATCAAGGATCCTGGGGAGGGAAAATACACAGAACAACTAGGCCTTTGGGTGAATAAGTGACAGTTAAGCATTGGTTTCCCAGCCCTAAGTAGACCTCCCAACTCAGTCCCAGGGATATACTCATAGTAAAGGAAAAACACAACGAAAGTGATGAGGATGAAGATGACAAAACCCAAGGGCTTCTTGTCAGGGCTGTGCTCTCAGGATCCTGGATCAGTCTGTGTGAGGGCCTCCTCTGGGATCTTGCACTGGGCCTGGAGGAAGTGAAGGGAGGGAGTTGGGAGATCAGTAGAGCCCAGGAGCCCCGAGTCTCATTCCCAGGCCGCCTGGCCTCCACTCACTTGGCCCGAATTCCCAGACCTCACCTTGAGCAGAGCGAGAACCTGTGCGGCTTTGGTGTAGTCCCAGTGGCTATCATGAAGGCACCTGTGGTGGAGGAAGGACAGGTGCCATCCATTAGGACCAAAGTGGAGACACTGACCGCACAGTGCTATTTCTTAACGTACAGAACGGAAACATGCATCCACGTTTACTGCATCATATGCAGCAGAATGAACCCTGTGGCACAGTGTGTCATGGGAAAACTCCTGGTACCCAAATGTCTGCCAATAAGAGAACGAAGTCAATGAAATCCATAAAAGGAATGCACACCTGTTCAAAAGCAACCAGGTAGCTTATATGTACTGAGAGGGAAATGTTCAAGGTGATAATGAGTGAAATAAAAAAGCAAAACAAATTACCTGCAAGCTCCCATTATTCACGCCTCCACTCCTCCCAGCTCCCTCCTGTCCTGTGCAAACCCAGCACTCACTTCTGAGACCACTGCAGGTTCATGCCGGACTGGGTGGAGAAAGCCTGCACCATTTCCTGTTGCTCCTGGGAGAGGGTGGGCACAGAGCTGGAGGCGGGTGTGGGAACTGGGATGAAGAGCCCACTGTGAGTCTCCTTGGGGTTGGCGTCCCTCACAAACAGCTGGTCATTCAGGATGCACAGACTGGAGGAAAAGGGGGCCCCCAGACAACTGATGGATGGAGAACCCTACTCCCCCAACAATGATCCTGCTCCCACTGCCACTCAGCAACCAGATTACTTCCAGAGCCCCATACTGGGCCTGCCCCCGCAAATTCCTTAGCTGGTACCTCTGTCCCTGCCACAGAGCCCACCTTTGGAAAGATTATTTACCAGCTTCACTATATTTACAGGTTTGTCCACAAACCAGAGATGATTTTACACCTGCATTTACCCGGGACAGTAGGAAGACATTGAGTCACAGAGAGGTCATGTGATTTAACCAAGGTCACACAGCTAGGGAGTGTTGGGGCCAGGAAGAGAACCCAGTGTTCCGACTCCAGAGCCCATGCTCTTACCCACTAGGCTAGGCTGCTCCTAGGATCTAACTGGTGGCTTTCCACAATACTGAGAAAACCCCGAGGTCAACACCACCACATTCCCACCCACTGAGCCCAGGCTGGGCTGGGTGTTCCCACTCACAACACAGCACTCACCTGGAATTGCTGACAGGGACAATGATGAAGGTTCGTGTGAAGGCACGAACAGAACTCTGAGACTTTCCTACCACTTTAAAGACAAATAACAAACAAAAATACCCCCGAAGAGTCGCACATGCTTTACATGCTCACACGGCATTACCCAGTCAGGATCTGACTTGATAGTCATGCTGAAGGGGACAGTTGTTCACTGGGAGTCAGGGTGTTGGGAATGGAGAGGGCAACAATAGGAGCAATCTGCTCCCCAAGACAGGGACTCTACTATGTGTCGGGCTCTGTGACAACCACTTTACAAGTTCAGTCGATTCATTTTTCACAGCTACCCAAGAGGTGGGTATTATTAGCCCCATTTTGCAAGTGAGGAAACTTAGAGGTTAAGGAACCGGCCAAAGTTCATAGAGCCAGGATCTGGGATGAGACATCAAACTCCACAGCCTGTGTCCCTGTGCCTGAGCTGTGCAGGGCAGACAGGCATGGACGCAGGTCAGACCAGGATGGTTTGGAAGCAGAGTGGGAACTGAAGAACACAGAGGGAGTAGGAAGAACACAGAGGGAGTAGGAAGAGAGGGGAAGGGACCAGGGAAGCTGGGAGAGTTCTGAGGGGGAGCCCAGCCGCGGGGAAGGAGCAGCGGGCCATGTGGGGTGGGGACTCCACATAGACTCACCTTCCTTGAACACCCCGTTGACAGAGAAGCACAGCACCCTTTCCTGAAAGGGAAGAGCCCAGGGGCTCAGTCACCACCTAAGCCTCCTACCCACCTGCAGCTTTCTGGGCCTGCCTGAGGGAGGAAGCAGGTGCTTACTGTCTGGAGCCACTGGTCCACCACGAAGGAGCTGAAGTCATGCTGAGTTGTGGGCAACACACAGAGAGAGCGCACGATGTCATGTTTTGTACTCTTCAACAGCTGAAGCCGCAGGTCTGTGGGCGGAGGAGAGCGAAGGTCAGGGGCTGCCACACCCTGGGCCTTGAAAAATCCCTCCATGACCCTTTTCCCTGCCCAATATTCCCACACGCACAGGGGTCCTTGAGCTTCTTTATATTCCTGTTATCCTTGACGTACTCGCACAAGCTGCTTCTGGGAGAGAAAGAGGAACAGGAGGTGGTGGTCTGTCCACTGGGTATTTCCAGGAGCTGGCCTGTGTCTGCTGGGGAGCCACAGGGCCCAGGAACAGAGTCTGAGCTGTGATACTCACGGGGCTGGGTCCTCGGGGTTGAAAGGGATGCTCAGGGAGAAACAGGCCTCGTCAAGGTAAGCACCGAGAAGACCCTGTCGGTCTCCAGAGTCATAGATCAGGTAATATCTGTGGGGGAACAGAAGGGACAAGCTGCATGTGTGACCTGGGCTCCAAATGAGACTTCAAAGACCCAAGAAGCAGACCTGAGCTTAGGCGGCATCCCCCGGCCCAGCCGTCCCCTTCCTCAGATTCCCAGGAGTACTTACCGCCGCAGGAATTGCAGAACCAGACTCTTCAGCGCATCAGATTCAAAGAAGCTTCCCTGAAATTACAACAGTTTTCAGGACCACAGCTGATACCCCTCCTCATGCACCGCCTAAAACTCTGCTTGGTCCTCCCGCCTCACCTTGCAGGTTGGTAGCCTCTTGTGGGCTTCAATACCAAAGTTAGTTGGTGGGCGTGACTCCTGGCTATCCTGGGAAAGGGAAGAGCAAGTCAGCAGTGCAGACCAGCAGCTGGTGCTGGATCATCTGGGAAAAGGATGGGTCCAGCAGGGGGTGAGTGTCAGGGGTCAGGTGTGAAAGGGCCCTGGAAATCCCACGGGCAAGGTTACATCTGGGATCATCATCAAGGGGTCCCTGAAGCCTTGGAGAATGTTGTTGAATAAGACTGAGAGCCTTTGTCAGGTGCCCACATAGGTGTGTACCACCACCCTCCCACCATGAGGTTTAAGGCTCAGGTTGAAAAATGTAGCTTAGGGAAGACCTAAAGGGGTTGGGAGCAGTTTGTGGGCAGTGTCAGTGTCAGTTAGAGGAGTCAATGATCAAGGAATACAATTACCAAGCTTAACAACTTGGGGAACAATTCCAGGATGGAGCTGCCAAAATCAAGACAAAACAGAAAAGTGAAACTGTGGAGGTGTCCTTCCTCATGAAAGCAAGCAGATTTACATCAGAGACATAGCCCAGGGTGTCCCCCCTACACTCCTGTGTTGCAGCCTTCGAGGACCCTGGGCTCCTCCCCCATGGACTGACCCATAGGAAGAGGGCTTGCTTGCTCTCTCTCACTTTCTCCCACCCCACCTCCTCCCCTTCCCCCTTGGTAGCTCTCACCTAGACTGCTCTGACTCCTTTCCCATGCACATCATGGCACGTGGAGCCCAGGTCCAGTGCTTCCTTCACCTCCCTGCCCCCCTTCCTTCTTCCAAGTCCCACTGAAGGCTCCAGAGTGGAGATGAATGGGGTGGGAGCCCAGGGCACTTCTACCTCACTTGTGGTCCAACATTCTGCCAGGAGCAGGACACCCCCAAGGATGGCCTATGATGCTGGGGCGAGCAGGTGACTGAGGCTGGGCTCAGGAGTCAGGGAGGGAAGAGGAGGTGATGAGGACAGAGAGGGAATGAAGGCAGGAGGACAGAGATGAGAGGGACAAAGAGAAGTAGAGACAAAGGAGAGAGAGAAAACAAAGCAAAGGGAAGAGAAAAAAACTCTGCCCTGATGGTGGATGTCAGGGAAGAAGAGAGAAGAAAGGGGTGATGGCTCCCCTGCTGCAGCCTTTCCTTCATCTGCCCTGGCTGGCCCCGAACCCGAGGTCGGAATGGCAAAGATGCACTTGTTGGGCTGAGTGGCCATTGGATACTAGTTGACTTTGCTACCTGTGTGAGCTCAGTCTGAGCTGGGAATGGGAAATGGAGCAGCCACAGGGGAAGACCACTGGGGAAATCTTCCCCAGGAGGAGTAAATGTTCAGGTTCCAGCTCAGCATGAGGCTGAGGGTCTGTAGCCCACTCTATGACCACCAACTCCTCTCCTGATGGCCCCAGTGCACCTGTGCCTGTCTTAGTCAAGTCCTTGTCAGAGGAATCACACCCAACCTGGGAGACCCATGGATACTTTGAAGGTCCAAGCAGGATGATGTGACTTGTACAGGGAAGGAGGGGCAGTGTCTTTGAGAGGCCTGAGCTCTAAACACAGGTGAGGGGCACAGAAAAGAGATGGCAGGGCCTGTGGTCCTCCCAGAAGACCAGAACTGCTGCCTCCTGCAAACAGTCACTGTCAGCGGTAGCTCAGGCTCCCAGGAGGCAACAGAGGGTACAACTGACCTTATGTTGGTTGACTTATCTGGGAAGGTGGTGCACAGGGAGTTTCTGTCTGCGCTCATCTCTTCTGGCTCCAGCCCTTGGCCCTTGTCCAACTTCCCTGCAGCCTTCACCTGTGATTATGAGGAGGAACAACGTGGACCAGAGGAAGAGAGCCAGGATGACCCTGCACCCAAGTTCCTATGTTTGCTAACAAATCCACTTCCCTGCCTCTTGCAACCACCCCATGAGCCCTCCCACCATCCCTTTAAAGAAGGATCTGGGTACTGAACCTCACCTCGTTGCTGGGGAGGTTCAAGTTCTTGATGATGGAGGCATTCTGCATAGTGGTGGACAGGCCAGCCAGCTGGCAGGGTTTCGTGTTGCTCAGGTTCAAGGGAAAAAGCTATGATGAGGAAAGAGGTAGGTTGAGGACCCCAATAGGGGATCTTCTACCTAATCTCTCCCACTCTGAACGTCAATCCCCAAACAGGGCCTAAGTCCTCACCTTGAGCATGCTCTCTTCATGGATCTGCAGGGAGGCAGCCGTGTCATTTCTAGGATTCGGGACCATTTCCACACCAAGGGTCACCAAGGCTCAAAGAGGCCGAAAGGAGGGAATGAGAACACTGAGAGGGGGCCAGCTCATACAGCCCAGCACCAACCCCTCCCCTGGTTTCTATCCCTAAGTCTCCTTCCCAACAATTGGACCCCTCTGCCCTCACCTGCCCTAGAATTACTGCTGGAGCCTACCAGGGTCAAAGTGGAGTCTCTGGACTTCAAGAGATTGCTGGGAGACATCATATCGTTTGTTCATGGTCAGCTGCAGAGTTAGAGATGGGATTTAGTGGCTCTGAGTGTGAGGTGGTGAAGGGAGGTAGTAGGCGGGGGTGGAAGAGGTGGGTCTGCATGTGAGTGCACAACTCGTTTGAGTCTGCACTAACTTTATCTGCTTCACCTTTTCTGACTTCAGCTCCTTCTGCACAGAGCAGGGTGCATCAGAGGGGCTGACAAAGATAGATATCTGCAAAGAGCACAAGAGGGGCTGGGTAAGCACCAGGAAATCTGAGCCTTGGGATCAAGCAAGACCTTGCCGCTGTCCTGCCCCCTCGCCCCTCGCTAACCCTGGTCATGTCTTTGACACACACCCTTTCATTATTCTTATCCCAAATCTTGCCGTTGATATTCTTCAATGCAAAGGCAATGTTGGCATTCTCAACGAAGAACTGGGCCTGCATTTTCTCATAGTGAAACTATGGGGAGAGTGACAAGAGAAACAGAATATGAGACCAGACGGCCCTGCCCATCTGGACCCTCAAGCTGCCTTGTTTCTACTTCTCCACCTCTCTGTCCTCTTACTTCGACTGGGGTGAAGGGGACACTGCATTGCTTCTGAATCAAACTGAGCAGCCACTTCTCATCATATTTTATGCCAAATGGAACCTAGGAGTGAGAGAAGATGAGAGAGGAAATTGACATAATGGAATCTAAGGTTAAGATAAGACCCCCCCCCCCCCATATCTTCCTTTCAGTCCTGTTTTTCAGGCTTTAAAATAATTTCTTAAGATAGAACAATATCCATTATTTATAACTTTTGTACCGGACATGGATTTCCTAAATACCCTTTCTTTCCATTCAAATACTTTTATTCAAATAATCAACTTTAGATTTTTAACATGTACTTTCTTTTATAAAGTTCCAAGAGATCCCACCTAAGGCAGACCTGGCCTGCCCCTCTGACAAGAACCCGAGATTCAACCCTCTCCCACACTAGCTTGAGCCAAATGAGCCTTGCTGGGTGGAGGTGCTCCATCTCCTTGGCAGTAGTTTCCTCCTTGGCTTTTAGATAACCTCTCCCATTCTCCTCTCCCATTCTCCCTACAGTCAGTCTGTTCCTTTTTTATTGCTGCTCTGAGTCTGCCTTTAGATGGTCTAGGATGCTAACTTTTGGTAATAAAATGGCAGATGACCAACTCCTCTGCCTCAGAAGAGTACCTAGCATCGCTACATGAGTCCAACACAACACCCTGTGTTCACCTTCTTCTGAAAATTAAGTCCATTTTGCAAGGACACTCACCATGATCTTGAACCAGCTCCCTGAGGTCTCATCCTGCTTGTTCCCCTCCATTTTCCTCTCTGGAGGCTTTTGCTCTCTCTTCATGTTAATGTGGGATTGGCCTTGTTTCTGAAAAGTGCCTCTCCGATGACAGGGTGGAATGGCATAGGGAGCACTGTGGGGAAGTGGAGACAAAGAAGCAGTCGATATATACTCAGAAGGTCTCTACACATGTTTGCCCCACTGATACCAGGGCTACAACAAAGTTTGCTCTACCCCTTAACCTGATCCTGTCTTTCCTCACTCTTCCAGACTGGAGAGAAAAGTGATATTGAACTACAGAGTTATGGATTCCACTGGCTGGTACTTTCCAGCCATGCTGACTGGTCACTTACTATCTTACTGCTGTGTCCACAGGAGCATCACTTGTTTCAGGATCTCCATCTTGCTGCTGGTGAGATGAAGGATGAATGCCAGAACTGACTTCTTCAGACCAATTACTATATCTCCTTCGGTAAATACCCCAGCCTCTTGCTCTTCTTTTTAAGAATTTAGGTTGGTTATTGCGCCCTAAAATTGAGAACAAGACATCAATGGTTCCAATACTAGACAAAGCCCTGTGGAAATATCATGGCTAATGAAGGCATATCACTGACTTCTCTAATCTAAAAAGAAGTGCATCACAGGGCTCAAAAGGTTGAAAGATTTCACTGTGGTTCCGCTTCCTGGAAGACGAGAGGTGGGGAGCATTCACAGCCAAGAAGAAAATAAGCACAGAGGAAAGGGTTTGGGACTAGGGTTCAATTGTGATGTTAGTCCCTGCTCTGTGCTTTTCGGGCTAGGTGACCCGGGACAAGACGTTTATCATCTCTAACTCTCACTTCCCTCTTCTGCTCTAGGGTGATAGTAAAATCGACCCTGAAAGTTTGGTGCTATGGTTCCAGGGTCAAAGGTGAGTTCCCTGCAAGGAGGAAGGATTATAGAAATGAGAGAGAAGTCTGATGAAAATATCTGGAATGAAGCCTGGAGAAACAGAATATGGAGAATATGAAAAGAGAGAGGGAGAGAATTAAAGGAGACATAATGAACATGTCTAACACATGGTTAATTTGAGTCCCGGAAAGAATGAGAGAGAATAGTGGAGAAGTGGGATTTGAAGAGATCTTGGTTGAGAAGTTTCCAAAAGTAAGAAGATATCAAGTCAGTCAAACAATGTTGATAGGAGAAAAAGTATGCTTTAAGGGAAAACATTCCTAAAGAAAAGACATGCCTTTTATAATGATGTGAATCTAGCAAAAACTGGGGAAATTTGTGATCAGAAAACTCAAACTAAAAGAAATATTAAAGGTTCTTCTTCAGGTAGAAGAAATATGGTCCCAGATGGAGGCACACAGGTGCAGGAAAGAAAGACTAATGACATTTGTGAATATGTAGGAAAATCTAAATATGTATTGGCTATATAGCACAATGATAATAAGTTCTTTTGGAGGTTGAAATATACATAGAATTAAAATGCATGACAATAGATTGGGAGCGGGTAAATGGAATCAAAGTGTTGCAAGGTCCCTTCATTATCTGAGGACCTTGAAAGACCTAACTTACATCAGACTGTGAAAAGTCTAAAACGTACATTGTAACCTTAAAGGTAAACACGACAAGAATGGCAAAAGAATATTTAACTATCTAGCAAAATGAGATAGTTTAATAGTTAAAAATAATGATTTCAAAGGAAAGCAGAGGGAGGAGGAACTTAGAACAGGCAAAAATAAGTGTAATGTGGTATATATAAACCTAATTATATCTGTATTTACATCAAAAGTTTCATACTAAATATTCGAAACAGAAAAACAGATATTGTCAAACTGAACATTCCATCAAATGCTCCTTAGAAGAGACGTAAACAAAATTTAGGGATCTAAAATTTTGAAAGGAAAAAAATTGGTAAAATGTGTACCATTTACACACTAACCTACTGAAAGCTGGTATAACCATATTAGTAAAAGTACACTTCTTTAAATGGAAAACATTACTAGAGAAAAGAGGGAAATTTCATTATGATGAAAGGTTCGATGCAATAAGAAGATATTAATTAAAAATTCAAATTTTGTATACACATCTTAACATATAGCTAAAATATGCAGAGCAAAAACTGACAGAAGGAAATTGAGAAATGGTTCAATCCATGTCACAATGTGAAATTTTAATACACCTCGTTAAGTAACACATAAAAGGACAGACAAGAATTCAGCTAGATGGAGAAGATTTAAAAATGTGATTGAAGTAAATTAACAAATTTACTTAATTGACATACAGCAATGCACATAACTACACATGGAACATTCTAGAATAAGTGATAAGCTGGGATAAAGCTTGGCATAAAGCAAGCCTCCGGAACTTTCTATGAGGGGTAATATAATTTACCTTGAATAATTGATACAAGATTCAAGAGTAAGCGTGGCCCTTGCCCACCTCTAGCATGAATCCACAGAATGTTAATTTATACCAATCCACATCCCCACACCCACCTCCACCTGGGTGACTCTCCCCACTCTCCAAACCATGGACCTGAGACGAGACCACACAGCTCAGGCCTTTCCCCTCAACCAGGGAAAAAATTTTACCTCAGCCATGACCACTTCCATAAGAGGGGAGGTTTTCTGTATAGAACCAGGATAGGTGTGTCAGGGGCCACTTGGCCCATTTCCTCAGGAGACTGGAAAATAGTCAGCCCGGGCCCTCACCACCCCTCCTCTAAAGGGGGGTTGGCTGAGTGTCCCGTGGCTTGAGGTGGGGAAGGGGACCCAGAACCCCTCCTGCCCTGTGGGGTTCTGAGGCCAAGGCCTCATGCTGACCAACTCACCCATGGTGTGGCCTGAAGCCTGAGACTTGTCACCAATGTCCTCACAAGCTGCTTGTGAAGAGAATCTGTGGTGTCTGGAGCTGGACGTTTGGGGAAGATCAGGGACGGCTTCCGAAGAAGGCGAGAACGTGCCCCAAACCTCTTTGGTCAGGGCCACACAAACAAGATGGAGTCCTTACAGGAAGTCTCTTCCTCAGAGGCAGAGAGAAGACAGCCCTGGAGGCCAGAAGAACCTTAATCTCCTATGGCTATTGCCCCCTGAGTTTGCTACCCGCGTACCTCCCAGGAAATTGTTTCCAACTGAACCACCCCTACAGAGGAGGCCAACTGGAGTCAGGAGGCCTGGGATCCAGATACTTGGAGCTACAAACTCAGGGAACTCTGTGTGCTAGTCTCTGTGTCAGCTGCATTGCATTGTGTTCCTTCACTCTGCAAACCCAGAGCACTCTGAGTGCCAGCTCAGGCCAGGCTCTGTACTTGCTACATTGCATCTATTCTTTCATGTGTTCTTCCCAGGGGAACTCTGAAGTCAGAATCACCAGCTTTCCAAGGTTGCTGAGGTTTAATGAGGTGCTGCAGCTTGTCTGGAGTCATTCAGATGCTACCTGGAAAAACAGAGACTGAAATAGACCTCCATGGAGTGGCGATGACCTCTCCATGCCTAGCTTTACTAATTTCTTGCTGCAATATATGGCATTTTCTTAAGTTAGGGCAAAGTAACAGAATGTTCTGAAAATAGTCACTTTGCTGGAATTACCTCCAGCCCATCCCAGAGAGAGATAATACCAAAACAAAGGAAAAACACAGACCTGGAAAATATAAAGAAAAGAACAAGGGTTTGGCGGGTCACTGTAATAAAAGTAGAAGAATTATATTTTTCATTTTAAAAACATATAGGGAATGTAAACAGATGCACCTTAGTGGTCGGAGCCAGCACTGCAGCTCTGAAAGTCCAGAGAAAGTTCTGCAAAGAGAGGGAAGGAGGCACAGCCTGTATGCCAGTGCATCAGCA